ACTGAGTAGGGCTCTGACTCTTGTCCAGCCCCGCTGCCATTTGCCCTGGTCAGGTGCCGTGAAACCCTGGGTCAGTTGCAGCGGAGAACTGGAACTGAAAACCAGCCTGCGGGAGCTGATCATCTACATTGTTTTCCTGACAGACCTCTGCGTAAGTAAGTCATGGAGGAACTGAAGTGACCGTTTACGAGCAATTAATGTGTAAGCCGCAGCTCTTTCAGTGTTTACTCCTTATTCCACCTGTCTTCCACCGAAACCTGCAAGTTCAGTCAGAATTGCTCCAACGGCCTTTTTGTAGCAGCGTGACTTAATGACAACGTGGAGAGGCCAAGTTAGAAGCTGTTGTCAGCTCTGATGCCAGCCTTCTAGCCTCCTCTCTTTGCCCCTCCTTTCCAGTGACGTTTGGCATGGTCAGCATGGATATGTACTACCTGAACAAAGTCATGTGCCATCTTTTCTGGAGCCCAGTTCCTCTGAGGACGACAGGAGCAGTTTCAGGAGTATCAGGAGCAGATCTGATTTCTGGAGGGTAAGGCTTGCATTGCAAAGGTGTTACAAACGAGGAAAGAAACTCCTGGTGTTAGTGTGGAGCAATACAGTGCTTCTCCTGAAGGCAATGTGCTAGGTGTTGTGCTTTCAGCTGAAGAAAGGCAGATAACTTCTTAAAATGCATTTGGAAATCCTGAGTACAAGGGGTAATAATGAAACTTCTGAATAGTCAGTCGAGGAAAACAATAGGCCAGTTAGTTGCCGCACTGTGTTCTCAGTATTAGGCTTTGTCTGAAAAGAACTTTGATAAAAACAGACAGATTTGGGTTTACAGTTCTTTTGATTTTCAACTGTTAAAAAAATAAATAAATTATGGTTTCCACTGAGGCTTCCAGGAGAGTATACTGCCTGGATTCACCTCATATTTCAATGACAGGTGCAAAACGCATATCTTTATTTTCACTGCTAGGTGGAGGACTTCACAAAATTACAGGCATTGCCGAGCTGATAGCCAAAGGCTATTTCTGAAAGATGGAGATACACCTCAGCCTCGTTGTTATCCCCATGGTACTGGGGGTCTATGGGCTTCTGCAGCAGTGGAGGATATACGTTCACCTTGCCTAACTCAAAGCAGGAGAGCATGGAGAAGTTGGTGTTTCTCAGACATAACAACTGGCTCACCAGAGGAACCAGAATTGTATTTATTGACTTCTCAACATATAATGCTAACATAAACCTCTTCTGTATAGTCAGGTGAGTTCTTTTTTTTTTGCTACATGTGAAATCCACTTTACTGAGGCTTCTGTAAAGACACAAGGAAAGGCTGGTCACCTCAGGCATATGTAGCTGTGTTGCTCAGCAGCTGGCAAGACAGTAACTCATTAAAAAGGAAGAAATTCAGGTAGTGCAGGGAGCAGACCCAGATCCCTCCTTTCCATTTTTTTTTGTAATGGTTGGTGTCTGGTCTGTGCAGCTGGTTGTCGCTGTCTGTTTGAATAGATTTCATAGCCTTTTGCAATACTTTGTAATACTCTTTTCATGCACACCTTGGTGCAACACCTGTAAGATGATCTTAAAGGTGTAGGAGTTCCAATAAGGTATTATTAGTGTAGTAATAATTAATATTAGAAAATTAAGGGCTAGGATGATTTAAAGGGTTGGTAAGCAACGCCTGTCCCCAATTTTTTTCCAGATTGGTCATAGAGTTCCCTGCCACTGGGAGTGCTCTCACTTCCTCACATATCTACTCTGTGAAACTACTCAGATATGTCACGTATTACGATTACTTCCTGGCTGCTTGCGAAGTTGCCTTTTTCCTCTTTATCATTACATTCATAATCCAGGAAGCTATAAAAATAGTAAAGCTGAAAAATGAGTATTTCAGAAGTGCCTGGAACTGGCTGGATTTGCTGCTGCTGGTGGTGAGCTACCCCTTGACTTTCACCTCTCTGCTTGCCAGCCTTGGCTGGCTATGGATGGACAGCCAACATCTGTCCCTGGTTGGTCGGTCACCCGCTCTCCTGCACTGAAGAGGCCACGTGGCCCACCATGGTTCAGCACACCTGAACTCTTTTCTAGTCTCGCTGTGAACTTGCTGCAGCTCCGTGGCCTTTCTCCTTGCTATCCACGTTGTTTTAGCCTTAATCTTTACAGAGCAGGGAAGCACTAGCGCGTAGCAGAGCTAAAATGGTGAAATTGGAATGTATGCAGCATGTTGCATAGCACAAGCCCAAAATTATCACAGTACAATTACAAATCATAGAATCGTAGAATGGCATAGGCTGGAAGGGACCTTAGAGATCATATAGTCTGACCTCCCTGTTTTGGGCAGCGACGCCACCTCTCGACTAGACCAGGCAACACATGGGGACCGAGCGGGAATGATTTGGCCAATAAAGTCTCATCTGTACAGTTTATGACAAAACATCTAAAAAGCTCAAGTTCTGCAAATCTAACCAAAGACTTTTTGAAATCAATACTGTGTTTACTGTGCAGAGTGACAGTCTAAAGAGACTTGGATTTCATCTGGACTTCTTTCATTGGCTTCTACTTTCCTTCAGGTGTCCATCTTTGCCATTGTCTTCAATATCTACGGCACCGTAAAAGTGTCGCTGCTAATGCAAGAGTTGCTGTCTGATGCCCATGTATATCCAGACTTCTATTTCCTTGCATTCTGGCAAGTCCTTTACAACAATATGATTGCTGTCAATGTCTTCTTTGCTTGACTAAAGGTACTAGCTCTTACTTTTTTTGTACTTGAGAATTGTAGTGTTTCTAAGCATAGCATAAATGTTCACTTTTACCTTTTCATGGGTGAACTGCTAAGGTGGGGCTGAAAGGAAGAACTTAGTTGATAAGATTCTAAAAGAGTTTAAAATTACCTCCTTCTCATACACGAGTCACACGTCCATTCTCTACTGCAGCTGCATATTCGCTCTGCATCATCCTCCCTTCAGACCAATTACTGTCAATTTAGTAGTGCAACTGTGTTTATAATTAATGGTTGTTGTTGAACAAGGTTTTTGTTCAGGCCTCATTTTAGACCCAAAGTAAAATGGGGCTCCTTATCAACTCAGCCCATCAGGGAATCCTCAGATACACGAGGGTGATATGGCTTGCAGTCTTCTTAACCAAGGGTCTGTGTCTAGTCAAGTGTACGTATACCAGTACTCAGCAAAGACCTGTCTACACAGTATTAGCTTTAGAAAATAAGCACATTTGCCCTGACAATATTCATCTTCTCTAAAAATACACTCAGTCCTGGTTCTCTTACAGATACATACCATGATACATACAGATACATACCATGTGACTCTTTAGATAAGACATGACTTCTAAGTTATGGTTATAGATAACAGTCCAGAAATTCTGTTACGTTTTGATCCCCCAGTAACAATATTTTCGGTTCTCTTGCAGTTATTTAAATATGTAAGCTTTAACAAAACCATGACACAGCTGTCCTCCACTTTATCTCACTGTGCCAAAGATATCATTGGATTTACCATCATATTCTTCATTGTTTTCTTCACCTGTGCCCAGTTAGGCTATCTGTTGATAGAGTTTTCTACTTTCCAAAACTGCATGTATGCTACTTTCTAAACTTTTTTGATACAAACCCTCCAGTTGGTACAGGTGCAAACCAGTTTCTGCTAAGAAGAACTTAGTAAAACCAATTTTGTTGGCCTTATGATCTGTTTCCCAAAGCCTTAAGTTCAAAAGAGACAAAACTGGTACGCTAAACAGGTCAGGAAGGCTCACAAAGCATAAGCTCATGGGCAGTTCACCCCACAGAGCTATTAGTCCCTGCAGCTCTCAGCACAACTTTGCCATGTGTAACCAGGCCCCTGGGCAATCGGGTAGGCCTGGCAGCAGGCTATTCTCTTTTGCCTCTTTTAAAAGCAAGTGTGTGAAATGACCCAGCAGATGTGCCACTGGTTATGCGGTGCAATCCCCGGCATGAAAACCACAGAATAACTGCTTGAGAGACCCGAGTGGCTCAGAGCACAAGCTGAGTGTGTTTGCACAAAGGAATTACTGCTCTTTAAAGAAAACATCCAGCTCCATAGCCAAGAGTCCCCAAATCCCATCTGCTGGCTCTATTACTCTCTTCCCAAGATTTTTTTCAGGAGCAGCAAGAGATCAATTCCAGGTGCCAGCTGGAACTGGTTTTGATGGTCCTTGCACCTTGTAACAACCCTAACCTGTCACCTGTGGTTTGCTCTGTGTTTGAGCCCATGGGTATGTTTCTTACAACTTCAGAGAGAGATGTTTCATGTATCAGATTGTTTGAAAGCAGCTTTTCATGTAAAATTAAGGCACTTCTAAAACAGAAAATAGGTCATTTTTGTATCAACTTGGATGTGAGAATAGTTCTAAGATACTGCAATACAGAGAGATAAGTATTTATTTGTCTTGGCTATGAATAAAGTCCCCTATAGGGGACACCTATACTATTATCTTCTTACAGGACCTACACTGTTATCTTCTGTACTATCAGAAGTGTCTTGGGTTACAATATGTAACCAAAAATGTGTAATTCTATTTCATCTGTTGAAACCGGTTGGAAGATATTTTTCATTTCTTGTTAACTCCAGGGGCAGGTGCTTTTGTTAGTGGGTAATCATGGGTTAACGATGGGGAAAACGGTGGGAGCTGCCCCCTAGCCCGCCGGAACTTCGGGGGGTGGGAGGGGGGGTAGTAGCACTGCCGTGAGAGCCGGACTGGCCTAGGAGGACCTCATGGAGCACTGGTTGGGGCTGCCGCCATTCTTCGCCTTTGTAGGAGGAGGGGACCCAGCCCCATCACCACCGGACCCCTCTACCGAATCAACTCCAACGGAGCAGCATCTGCCACTCCCGGAAGAGGACTCTAATCTGGATCTATTTGGACCTTTTTTTTTTGTTTCCCAAGTCAGGTATTCTGACTCTGTCGGGTTCTGGGGTTATTTGTTTCTTGTTGTTCTTTCCTCTATATCATTACCCTTGTAGTTTGCAATATTCTCAGTAAAGAACTGGTATTCCTATCCCCATATCTTTGTCTGGAAGCCCCATAATTTCAAAAGTATAGCAATTCGGAGGTGTGTGTGTGTGTGGGGGGGGGAGTTTACATTTCCTGTTTCAAGGGAGGCTTTCCCCTGTCTTCTAAACCAAGACAAGAAGATAAAGAGTCATGAAACTAAAACAGAAGGAATGTAATTTAAAAAAACCCCACAAACTGAAACCAGATGATTTATCCAGAATGAAAGTATTTTCTCATACAAGCCATTTAAAAATGGCTTTGTACTTTTCAAATTCCCAGATATATGCTAAATGCCCAATTTACCATTGCTGTAATATCCCGGTTTGGCTTTTGATGTCAGTGACTAAGGTGAATTGGTCTCAATTTTATGTATTGCTCTTATTTTTCTTTTTTTTTAATTAAAATAATTCTTACAGTACTTCTCTTAAAGGAGAAGTCAATCAACCTCATTCTGCCATTTTTTACTCCCAGCTTTACACAGTTCCGTATTGTGCTGGGAGATTTTAATTTTGAAACCATAGAAGCAGCAAACAGAATCCTCGGACTGATTTACTTCATCGCATTTTTTTCTTTGTGTCTTTTGTATTACTGGTAAATATCATCATAAAAATACTTCTCCTTTTGCATAAGCTGTAGAGAAAAACTATTGTATAGTGCTCTGAGATGATACTTTTCACCCCCAAAGGACACTGGTCTTGCACCTGGGCAGAGAGACAGCCCGGCCTCTTAGGCGGGAGTTCCCAGCAGGCAAGGCATTTCACAGCTCTCCTTTCCTCCAAACAGCCACAAAAAGGGGCTTTTGCACCACGAAACAAGCACGTTGCAGCTTTAACTGTACTGCATCATCCATTTGTCGAGATTTTAATTTCTGAAAACTTAATTGCGTGTTCTTGAAAATTGCATAATATCAGCCTTGTCAGTAGGAAGGTTAAAGAGAGACTTTGATGGGACCATGTAGGTGCAGGTTTGCTTTATCACTTAGATTGATGTTTTACTTAATTACTTGAGATTGAAACATCATCTAAAAAAGCTACAGGTATATGACAGGAAATCTGTTACCTCCAAGGAACTGTGCCTTTTAGGCAATACTGCAGATGAGAAATAAGTGATTGTCTCCCAAAAATATTTCTCAGTACCCTAAGATTATCTGATAAGTTGACTGTGTTTGGAGCATGTCTGCAACCAGTAAAGCTCTTTAATTCCATTAATTACATGCCCTAGCATGGAATGGCCCCCAAAACAACTGTCCCAGCATAGTAGAAATGCAATTTTTTGGAAGAAATATCTAACTATTCTTCCCGTGCAGAACATGTTTTTGGCCATTATAAATTACACTTATTCGGAAGTCAAAGCAGACTTTGAAGTGATACCCAGTCAAGAGCTTCAGATCAGAGACCTCTTTAGAAAGGTAAGTAAACACTTCTGTAGCTACTTCATTTAATTCAAGGTAAGAGGAGGAAATCTGAACTACATCACTAGCAAAGAGCCTTAAACCGCTGGGCCATAACCATTTAAGAACACCCAATATTTGAGTTTTCACTTTAAATAAACATTTGACATATACAGCCACATCCTTACATCAAACTCAATCAGGAGCTCCTGATGATAAGAGCAGCATGTGAGTTAGGGTGAAAGGAGCCTACCTTTACTTTTTTAAAAGCAGTATTTAAGACCAGCCTGGTTTATGATACATCCCGTCATCAGCTTTCTTCAGAACTTGCTGTGGCTACTTTTCCAAACTGAGAAAGTAAAGATCTCTGCGTGGGAAGACAAGACAAAAAGAAATACCTACCTTTAAAACTGCACAAAGTTCAAACTATTTTTATGTGCCAGAAATGAGTACAAAAGGGGAAAAAATCTTTCCAACTTGAAATTATGACCTCCCCGTTTTCTGCCAGTTATGTATGCTGAAGTCCAAGAGACTACATGCAGTTCTGTCACTTGGGACAAGTCAATACCTCAACCTAAAAACCTGGCTTTACCTAGGGAGTACAGCGTCTCTGGGGAGAGAAATAAGGTTGAGGTGCATGTGGGATGAGAGACCTGTGCATCCAGACTATGTTTCTCCAACTTTGCCTTCACTGACCATGCTGCAGAGGAGGAGTGGCAGCTGTATCTACCTGAAATTTCCCTGTGGGATTTTATGGGTGGCAGAGACACAAGTTACGTTGCTTCTGCAAAGCCCAGATTGTGTTAAGGAAAAGGAAGATGGGAGTCCTTGGCCAAGACACAGCTAATGTGGTCAGTAAGAGCACAGCTGAGAGTCCCCAAACCAAGCTCAATTCTCCTACTTAGCTGGTAGTACAGTAAGATTAAATTGAGTATGGCTGAAAACAGAAACTCTTACTGGATTTACTTGGCTATTACCTGTAGGGATTTAATGAGAAATTTGAGATCCAGCAGGGTAAGTTCTCTGAGCTGAGCTAAGGGAGCAAGGAAAATGATAGTCTGGTGGGAGTTCTGTTTAATTGCCAAGGCATTATCCTGATACTTAGTTCCTTGCATTCAAGTTCTTATGCAAAAGTGTCCCTAGTTAAAGACAAGCCATTTAACATGCCTGACTTTCCCTATCTGTGTTCAGGCCCTTATCAAGCTCAAATTGAAGAAACCAGGCATGGATACAAATCAGGCAGATGAGAGCTCAGAAAGGTAAGTTCTCAGCATTTGCTGTTTCCGCTTGCACTGATCACAGACCTGTTCTCACAGGACTTCTGTCTCTTATTTGTTTGAAGGATAAGCAAGGAATTTTCAGCCTCTAAAGAATGGATATTTCTAAGCTTTCCAATGGAAACAATGCTAATAAAAAGGTAGGCTTTATTCTTTCCTGTATTCTTAGAAACTGCTGATTATATTTCAGAAGTTGAATAATACAAAAGGAGTCACAGTTGTCCTCACTGGTCCTTAGAAAAGCTATTTCTCCACAGGATACTATTTTTAACCTCGTAGGAATAGCAAAAACGAGACCTATAAATAAGGAAAAATCACTAATTATGCCCAAAACTTCAAACGAAAGCTTGTTCAGGCAAGGTCATACACAATAATGGAGCTGGTGGTAGGGTGAGATTGTCTTAGCAATGGTATGAAGTTGTGAGCTGGGCATCGCCCAAATGTTAAACAGAAACAAATGTGTGGAAAACAAGTTTTATGGCAATCTGTTGTGTCATGGACTGCATCTACAGCAAGAGGAAATATTACTGTAGCTTCCTTTTGCTTTACAAAAGGAAAGTTTTCATCAGTCTTTGGTAGTTTCATGTCTGGGGTAAACCTGTGCAAGTATTTCTAAAATATTTTTTATTTTTTTAAAATTACTTCTTCTAAAAGAGAGGGAAAAGCCCTTTGGCAAGCTGTAAACTATACTACACGCCAATACCTGCAATCTCTCTCAAATGTGTATTCCTGTATCCTGCCTTTTTAGAAGGGCCAGAAGGAAAATCTGCATCAGATGGAGAACAATTTTCTTTAAAGCTACATATATATTTTCCTGCAAGCCTGCCCCCTCCCTGCATGAGTTAATGTTACAGGTGTCCCAGTGAATCATACTGGCTTTGTCTTTGGTTTTTTTTTTCATCCTTCTCATATTGAATAGAACCATCTGAAGTTACCAAAGCTACAGGAAGGGGAAGAAAATCTTCGTCAGAAGTATCCATCTACTGAGGACAAGGGCTCAGTCACTGCTCAGAGCTACGTCTCCACTGCAGAATTTCAACAGTAAGTGTTTGTGGGTCTGTTGTTGCACTTATTGCCATCCCCAGGCAGCTGTAGCCCTTGCTGAAATCCTCAGCAAATGATAACCTGAGAGACGGAAAATCAACACAAAGTGAGTGATTTTAAGATACTTTAAATACTTTTTTACTGGCTGAAAACAGCTGCCCTTAGGGACAAAAGACGGAAACAAAATACTTTAGTAGAGCAGCAAGGAAGGACATTAGTCAAGAGTGAGATGGGACAAAAATTTGAACTATTGTCACTCTTCGAGAATTTCTCCTTGTGGCTGCCCAGGGAGGGGGACAGAGGCTTAAAACATTGTGCTTGTGGAGGGTATTTCAGGGCTTAGCACCATCTCAAGGATCTGTGGCTGTGTTTGTGTGTTCTAGGCTTTTAAGGTACACAGCTGAGTTGGCGAAGGAACTTAATAACACTAATGCAAAACTTGGGAGAATTATGACAAGAATGCAGCATATGAATGATACTTAAGGCAGGACAACACAGTAAAGTGCATGAGCTCATCTGGTAGCAGAGATGGCCTGACTCTTCACACAATTCAATTAAATGCAAAGTCCCTATACCCTCCCCCCTTTTTTTTTCTATTTCTGGATAAAAGATAAAAGAAGCAGG